GTGCTTATTTCAAATTTAGGAGAAGACATGGGGTGCTTATTTGAGGGGGGTGCTTAATTGAGGGGGGCGCTTACTTGATTTTTCCCAAATCGTGGCTGGACATGATCATTAATTTTTTTTCATACGTTATCAGTGTTTATCAACATGAAAAGCTGATCCTAAACTTTAAATTGCAGCACCACTAGAATATATATCTATTTTTTCCAACCTTAACATGTTCACAAACTAAAACAATGTACAAATCTGATACTACACGATGAAAACTACACATCCTTTGTTGTCTCATTACTCGTCCACAAAATGGGGGGAGGGGAGGGGGTGCTTATTTTAAATTTTGGCTGATAGGAGGGGGAGGGGGGCGCTAATTCAAGGATTTACCGTATTTGTACAATTGTTGGTTTTGATTTGCACTCCAAATTGTTATGTACAAATTATAGCTGAAAATTTACATTTGAGATTAATAGCCCATCAAGCTGTCACATCTTTGTAAAAAACCCCTCTACAATTCACTTTCCAATGAAGGAATCATTGTTTATTTGTTGTAAACATACAACACAGGAAATATTTGTCCTCAGAGTACATGATTATTGTATTAAAATCATCTACAAATAAACTGCTATTTTATAGTGATGTGATACATATTTGTCGTTCTATCAGCGAATTCACAAAAGAGGAATTAAAGTTCTACTAAAATATCAAACCCAATATTGGTAATATAAGCCTAAGCAAATAAAGTGACATGTATCAACTTGTTTTCATACCATTGTGTATCATTTTATAACTTTTATTTCCCATTCACTGGTTTTCGTTATCAATGTAGCAAAAAAGTTTATCATATTGATAAAGCCTACTATTTGGTACGTCTCCCGGATCAAACAATAATAAACATCTGTAGACCCACCCCGCTAAAATCACGGTCTAAAGATCACAATCATAAATTGAACTTGAGTGAATCACAAACTTTGATGAATTTTTCTAATTCACTGACCTGAAAGCGCCTACAGCTCTCAACATCATGAGCATTTGGTTAGTCTAGAAAACAATCCTGGTATTTTGAACACATCAGCATATTGCATCAGCTGAGGGAAGGCTGGAAATTCCAAGATATTAACCTTCCGACCACAGCCGCCATGTTTAAAAGTTAAAGCGAATCCAAGTGCATGATGGGAGCTTCGCAATTTGTCACCAGTCTTCGCCGGAAAGAAATCTCAACGCAATAATATTATCGAAATTGTGAAAATTATGCTGGCTTTAGAACATTTTTGCTCGCTTCATGCGTAAATTTGAACGTGGGAAATTCTTCTGAGATGTCTGTAGATACAAGAACTCCTCTCCTAACAGATCGAGAGAACATGTACTCCGTTGGTGACCAAGATCATGAAAGGCTGCGAAAAGACAGCACGGACTCGCAACTTACAGCTCTTGCCGATCAACTTGGCTTGCAACCAGACGCTTTCAGCGGAACTAGCTCGGAAAGAGAAAATAACAATCCCTCAAAAAGGGGAAGAAACGGGCCTGTAAACGATTCTGTGGTCACCATAAGTCACGAACAACTTGACGAGCTTCTAACAGCTCTAGAGACAACAAGTGATTTGATCAAACAAGTCGGAATGAACTCTGTGGAGTTAGAAAATTTAACCAGGCGACGACGGTGAGTTTGAGATGTTACAATTTTAATGTTTTCATTTCTTTGACTGTTCAGCATTAAATTTGTTGGATCAACAAATTGTAAGCAACGAATTCAGCTGTACACGAAGGGGTAGAGGGGTGCAGGAGGGTGGGGTGTGTACTGCGGAAAGGGGATCGGATGGAGGCCGGGGGATGGAGCTTGGTTATAGACAGTTATTGTAAAAAATCTTATTGCTATACCCCCCAACTCAAATCCTTTTTCTGACTGGAGGAGAATTTGTCACATGTCATAGGTCAAAACTCACCAACTCCCAAGGCAAACAAAACCTACTAACTCCTTCAAGAAACAACAACTTCAACATTGGGTGATTCCAGAAAAATCCATACCATACCATGGGCGGCATCTTGGAATTCTGAGGGAGAGGTGCGGGTTTCTTGGACTGGAATTCTGAAGACATTGTGAAATTTACTTTGTGAAATGCACTGTAGCAGTGTTTTATTTATCTCCTCTGGTAACAGCAAGCTGATACAAATCAGTGATAACAGATTTTATTTACAGGAATCACAG